TAGGAAACTATTCATATGATAGTTCCGTAATAACAAACTAATAAAATCTAATCAGCCAAATAAGAAAAATAATAAAAGTAAGAAAAATAATTTATTCTAATGTTGCTTCTAAGATAACTTAATAACTACATATTCTACAGATATAAAATATAGCTTATTTGAAAGATCTAATCGAGCTGAATCTAATAGTGAAATCTAAATCTAATTTTAGCTAATAAGTTATCAAGAAAAATGATAATAAATAAATCTAAATATATATAATAATATAAAAGTATAATAATTTAGAAATATACTAAAACCTATTTTATAACAGCAAGATTGATTTCGAACTCAGTTCAAATATGAGATGTTGATTTTACATAATTTAAATTCACATAATTGAAAAACTTAAGTTTAATTAATTCAGGTTTCAGATCTTCTCAGGATGCATATTGCTCAACTTATTGTAAGCATGCAGAGCTCTAGTTAACCTCGAAACAAACCTTTTACATAATAATCATAGTTAAAATTTTGCAAGTTTATGCACTAAAGTTACACCAAAATACTTGCATAGCAACACAAAAAAATACTTAATTATAATTAGTTAATAAACAGAAGTGAACTGAGTTCAAATGAGCAGGATAACATCCCTAATTTTAGTAAAATATCCAATATCGGAATTTGTTGTTCGTTAATTTAATCCAATAGACATTTAATCAAATAAGTAATAAAGTTTATTATATTTAGTTCACACATTATTGCATATTGGCGGATTAATGTTATATAAAGTAATATCACTATCAACTAGAGCTTCGATCCGTAATCCAATTATCTGAATTGATCCTTAAATTCAGATAAATTGAGATATCCAAATCAGAGATGTTTACTCAGATTGGTCAAAGAACTTAAATAACGGACTTAAAAATACATCTCTTTATATAATCTGAGACGGATTCAATCCGGATTTAATATGAGCTGCTATCAATATAAATAAGACATTAACATTTTAAAAAAAATCGATACCTTAACTTTCAAAGCCCATATCTCGATGAATTTCTAAGCTATCTTGATGATTTAGTAGTCAAAAGAAAGGTTAAACTTTAAGCTTTCTTTTGAATACTAGATAGCTTTAAAATTCATCGAGATATGAGCTGTAAAAGTTAAGGTATTAATTTTTTTTTAAATGTAGATCTGCTTGATATTGACGGCAGCCCATATGTTTGTATCGAAGCACTACTAAAAGCACTACTATCAACACTACCGCAATTTACAAAATTTAAAAAGTAGGTCGATTTTAGTTAAACTTAGGGACTTAAAAATAGTCCAATTCCACTAATCCTGACTATACATTTGCATAAATCCAGAGTTCGCATAATTTGCGATTTGTCGCACGCATAATTTGGATCATAATTCTGGACACTAGTTGTGATCAGCTACCCCAGCAGGACCATGAAAGATCAGCGCAGATGCACCAATAAGATCTCTTCTAACAATCGATTCTTTATGAAACCACCTTCTGCACACTAACAAAAAAAATTCTCCGCAAAATTTTAGTATATAAAATACACGAATTCGATCATAACCCTAATCCTAATGTAAGTTTTATTACTTTAAAAATTCGATTGTTTTATTAGTGTAGATCATCCTGATTGGTGCATATTGTCGATCTTTCATGGTCCTGTAGGGCAGTGATGTACATGGACAGCCTTTGGACAAGATTTTGGACATTTTGGACAAAAAAATAAAGTGAATTTACTCAAAAATTTATTAAGATAACCTATTCAAACCTTTTAAGTAAAAATGTTTAGAATTAAATAAAGAATATAATCATATAATTTTTATTTCTATAACTAAAATATTTAAGGCTATGGATAGCTTGGACACTTTGGACACTTGGACGTTTGGACATTGGACATGTCCAAAAAAGCTTTGGACATGCCAAATGTACAACACTGCTGCAGGGGTAGCTAGTTGAGATCACGCAGATCACGAGATTATCATGCACTAATCCGAATAAGGAATCCGTAAACTCTAGTTAAATCTTTTTCAAAGTTCACGTTCAGTATAAAGTCTACGTAGAACTTAATTCGTATTGTACATGTGTATTTTATAAATGATTAAGCAACATGCTAATAAATATATACTGTATCTTACGATATAATTAAATGCCCAATATTGCATGTAACTATTGGAACTCGGTTCTCTAGGTCTCGAGTATAAAGTCAAAATAGCTCAGGCTAAACATCTTTACAGTAAGGGTTATTGATTCATACATGGGTCTCTTACGTATAAATGCTATTCCTTGAAACATACCTAGCTAATATAAATGTATGTACGTACGCAAAAAAGGTAGATTCATAGACTTTACGCCACAAATTTGATCATGTGACTTTGTTGGCGTTTACCGATAATAAATAAAATCTGTTTCAAAATAATAGATCATTGATATATTGTAGTGATTGAGCGATCGGCATAATGGCCAAGAACGAAAGGTGAAAGATCGTTCTCACAGCCTTAAAATATTGCCAAGCAAAACATCGATCATTGACTTAAATTATGCAGAAATTGATCAGAATCACAGCCGCAATCTGAAGTAATTTCTTTTCCGCGGGCAAAGCGTGTGGCAGGGTTTTTAATCAAAAGCGGATGTTATTATTTATAGTACGCGCAATTATTAAAAAAAATACATACTCTAAAAAATAAAAGAACCCTAAATTGGAAAACCCAGGGGCGCAATTTTACAATACGGACATTCGTATTTCTAATTTCGTGATTTCTTTAATTAAACTTGACATAATCTTGATTTTATTATTGCACTATCTGAACAAAGGTGGCGAGTAAACTCTATTTGTAATCATGATCGTTTTTTTCTATTTTTATATAATATATAAATTTCATATTATTTAATCTTCAAATAAATGTAATGGTGATACATATTGTAAAATATATCACTACCCATTTATCATTTATCAGTCTACACGAAATCGATTCTTATGACTTGGTAAAGTAAATACGAGTTTATTTCACGATACCATGCCATCCTCGTGTAACTCACATCAATCCAATATAAAATATATCTTAAGTTTTACAATCACCCCACAGCCTCGGGGATCGATCCAAAGCGGTTTTTTTTTTAAAAAAAAAATTTATAAACATCGTTTATCCTTAAATAATAATTCTTATTTTTGCACGAAAAAACGATTTATATAAAAAAAGAGTTACCCTAAAAAGTCGTAGCCCTTTGAACTAATAAATTAGTTTCGTATTCTAATTTACGGATTCAAATGTCGCAATTTCCAGGTGGGCATACCCCTCCTGAAGGTTCTTATCCACCACAAGCTTATCCACCACAAGGGCAATATGGACAACAAGGTTACTATCAAGCTACAGAAGGAGATTCTCAGCCCTTGACAGGTAGTGGTGTGACTTTCGCTGAGTCTGACCGTACTTCAAAACATTATGGTAGAGCCCCACTGCGTCAACCACGTCGCTACAAAACTACAAAACGCGTAGAATTATATCAAGGGAACTTAGTATTAGATTGTCCTGTACCTACAAAATTTTTGCAGATGGTTTCACAC